CTCAGCGCCGCGTGCCTGATCCCGCGGAGCGCGCAGGTGAGGCGGCTGGCGCGCTGCCCCGCCACTTGCAGTTGTACCAAGGAGTCCATCATCTGCGTGGGCTCTTCCTGGGTGCCCAGGATCGTGCCGGGCGACATCAGCTCGCTGTGAGTGGGACCCTTCCTACCCCACCCCACCCCGCCCAGCCCGTGCGCCGCCGCCCTGGAGTTGCCTCGGGCGCTGGGGCCAGGAGACCCCGACCCCAGTCCCCAGTCCCCTTCTTTGCATTGGGTGGGCTCGTGCCACGGGACGTGGGTGGAGTCTTGGGCCCACGGGAAGATGGAGGGAACCTGCGATTCAGAGTCCGGGGGACTTGGGCAAGTTCCGGCCGCAGTGTTTCTCAAAGTGTGGCCCGTGGGCCACCGGCATCAGTTTGCGTCAATGCAGATTCCAGGGCCCATGCTAATACTGGGTCTCCAGAGTAAAACCCGAGTGTATGCACTGATGTCCCCAGGTGATTCTGGGGCACAGTAAAGTTTGAGAGACACCGAAAATAGAGGATGCATATATGTTGAGGGGGGAGGGGAGTTGTTTCTGAAAGGGTGCATGAGCAGCTAAACTTGACTGGAAAACGTGCAAACGTAAGAGGATAGGCCCCACCACTCACCTGGGGTCTGGGGTAGTGGTTCACACGTGGCCTTCTCCAAGCAGCGCGTGGGGAAGAGCCTGGGTAAAGTCATGCAGCCTTTGGAGTGGAGGTACCACCCCATGTGGCCTGGAAGAGAGGGGACACACAGGTTTCGGCATTAGGTGGGAAGCATGTGGGTGGCCGAATGCTGAAAGGCAACCCCACTTCTTGCCCTGAATCCACTGAGGATTTCTTACTCCCTTCCCCTATAATGCAGGCGTCTTGGTGGTGTTATGTGCTCGCTGCTAAATGAAAGGTTCAAACCCATCAGCTGCTTCTCTGGAGAAAGATGTGGCAGTCTACTTCTGCAAATCCTTGGAAATCCTGAGGGGCAGTTCTGCTCTGTCTATTACAGAGGGTGGCTCTGAGGTGGAATCAACTCACTGGCAACAGGTTTTGTTTTGTTTTGGTTTTGTACATGATGCAGCGTCCTGTTCACTTTTTCAGGGCTGGAGAAACTTAGAGGAAAGGGCTACCTCTTACATTTAGTCATCAGCCACACAAGTCCTCTCTTGCCAGTGGAGGGGCTTGTGGGCTGTCTTTATCATTGCCTGCTAAAACGACCCCAGTGTCCCAGGCCAAGACATTGGACTCACTAAGCTGTTATTAAGTGGCATTGAGTCGGTTCTAACTCCTAGGGACCTTGCATAGGGTTTCTAAAGAGCAGCTGGTGGGTTTGAACCGCCGACTTTATGGTTAGCAGTCCAGCACCACACCAGGACTCCAACTGTAGAACAGGCTGGGAACGGCAGTGACATTGCTTATGGTTGGGGCTCTTTCTCTTGTACTGCCCTCCCTGGTCTCCCACCGAGGCCATGTGGAGAGGCCTGGACCCCTGAGTGAAGGGATTTAGCGTTACATGGATAGAGTCCGGAGAGTAGCTGATGGGAACAGTGGACTTCTCTGTTACTGAGTTGGATGCTGTAGAGGATTCCAGGCCATTAGAACTCCCCTTGTTAGATCCTTTAGACCAACAGCTGCTTAATTAATCTCTGTGTTAACTTAATTATTTTGCAATCCTGTACTGAGATCCTGCTGTGGCCAGGAGGGCTGGAGACCCTTGCGGCAAAAATAGAGTCAGGGCCTCTTGCCCCTGAGTTGACCGTTCATCTGGCAGACACACCACCTCCTACATGTTCAAGTTCAGGTGTCTCTGAGTGTTTCCCCGAGGCTTTCACGGTGCATTTAATCACAAGTTCTCTGAATGTCTTTCAGAGCTGTGCTCCCAAGGGGGATGCTTAATTTTACCCCTGAGTTTTGTTGGCCAACATTAAGAGCTGTGTGTATACAAACAGAATCTTGGGCAGGGGTGAAGTAATTACCCATTTTCAGCCAGGGCCTCCTGTAGTTAACGGAAGCAAGGGGATTGATAAAAACCATCCAAGATCACGTCTGTGGAATGAGCAAGACTGATGTGAAAGGTGTCTATAAACCAGACTAATTTTCATATTGATTCAGTTCGTTGGACCCTCTCTCCATTTGTCCACTGTTAAAACAGAAGAGCTGGACCAAGTGTTGTAAGATCTTCTCAGGGTCCCATGACTGAGAGGAAAGGTTTGAAGTATAAGACCGATTGCCTACTCACCCCCTGCCAAATAAAACCAGGTGCCATCGAGTTGATTCAGACTCATGGCAACCCATGTATGTCAGAGTAGAACTGTGGCTGAATTTTGGGATGTACAGCGCCAGGCCTTTCTTCTGAGGTGCCTCTGAGTGGACTTGAACTGCCAACTTTTCAGTTAGTAGCTGAGAACCGAACCACTTGCTGTACTCAGGTATG